CCAACAAATTTACACTTCTGTGATATTCACGTGATTAATTGATCCGTCAGAAAAACTTTGGAGCATATTTTTATATCATTATGATAATTGAAATATTCATACAAATAAGTATTGCGTATTTATAACTGATAAAAGGAGGCGCAAACCTCCTCGAATAATTTTTTTAAAGAAGTTAGAATCCAAATATGTGTTTAAAACAGAAAGATTTCCAACAAATTTACACTTCTGTGATAGTCACGTGATTAACTGATCCGTCAGAAAAACTTTATTCGGACGTAACTTTATATTATTATAATTATTAAAGTTCATATAAATATCGCGTATCTATAATAATATTAAAAATACAGTCGCTCGTAAATAAGAGCGGGAACAGATAAGAAGATGATTCCGAAATGACACTCTGCTCTTTGGGACTAAACACCGCCGATTGGCACGTCGCCGGTCGCTGCGCTCGGAGCGGAGCCGTCGACTCGGAGCCGCGCGCGCGGCGCGCGGCCGCCTCAGTTCGCGCACGGCCGCTACGGAGTGAGGACGTGCGTTGACACTCCACGGCGCGTGTCCACTCGCCAAATACAGAGAGGGCTGCGTGATCCGTGTCGCCTGCTCGTGCTCCTCATCTCGTCACGGTCTGTCCACGCGAATGCCGAACGACTGCCAGTCATGATCTCCGCCGAGACGCGACACCTCCTCCCGAGCACGCTCCTCCTGCTGTGCAACCTCGTGGTCGCGACGTACGCCCGTTCCTGGGGTAAGTCATGAGAGAAACGTGCGACCGGCATACGCGGCGACGATCGTCGTCGGCCGTCGATCGTCCCCGTTGACACGCCGCGCCGGTAACGGGCCAATTTGCACCCGGGGGGAGGGGAGGTTTCGTCGCGGCGCCGCACACCACGACTATACCGGCTCGTGTCCGTGCGCCCGTCCATGCATACGCGCTGCATACGCGCGCGCGCGCGCGTATTGGTGCACGGGCGCCGACTCCATTCACCCGCGGCAGCTCGTCACGTACGCCACTTTTGCGCGCTCTCGGCCGTTCATCGCGCGCGAAAGCGGCACACGCGCGCGCGCGCGCGAAAGCTGAATGAAACGCGCGGGTTATCGGCGATCCGCGCCCACGTCGGATCCTCGCCGATCGTCTAGCGCGCCGCGATCGCCCGTCCTTGCTCGTCCTCACACCTGTTTTACGTAACGAATGTCAACGCGGTCTGGGGTGACGATCACGCGCGCGATTTCACACACACACGCGCGCGCGCGCGTGTGAACGTCAATGGGAAACGGGAGCGGGCGGATCGCGATGACCGCGAGATCGTCGGGAGAGATGGGCACGTTCCCCCGCCGCCCCGCGACGATGTCGGAGGTCATGGAATTTCGGACACTGAGGCGGTCGCTTTCTTTCTTTGAAGAAGCTCGCGTTTAGGCCGGCTCGCGTTTCCGCGACATTGTGACCTTATCTCGTTCGCGGTGTAACGGAAAATAGAAAGCCGCCGTACCCTTGAGTCGGTTCCCGGTTTCTGGTAGCATGAAAGAGAAAGACAGAGAGAAAGGGAGAGGAAGAGAAAGAGCGTGTAATAGAAATCAATTAAGATCGCTTAAAAATCCGGAGCCGAGAGAGTTCATTCCCATCTCGAGTCGTCGTTAATATGCATGCGTCGGATAATCGGCGACGTAATCGATACGCGAGCGCAATAGTATGCGTGTCTGAATGTTGACGCTAACACGCTTTGGGAAAGCCAATAGTCAAAGATCAAAGTCATATGGAGCACGATAATATAAATAATAATATTATATAATCAGGAAAGAAACCATTTCTATGTCGAGACGCAATTATTTACGCGATCTAGAAATTGCCTCCTTGGCGCCAGTTTCTCCCTATATCTATCTATCATGCGATATTAATATATATTTTTTTTAATCACCGAGCGTGAAAAGTTATAAATAGATAACAGAATCAAATATGCGCAATCATCTCACGGTCTCGAAGATGATCGATTAGTCGTGAAAAAGATCTCACGACTGTTTCAGTTGCTATGCGCGCTTTTTATGAATTGGCATGAATATATTGATGTAATATATTATATCGGCGAATACATCTTAAGAACATCTTTTCGCATCGCTCGAGGTTTTAACGCGCGTGTCGAACCACACGTGTGCTCCATGGAGCACGAAAAATCACGTGTACGAGGTCGGGCAAAGAGAAACGGAACTCGTGGCGCGTGTAAATGAGACGACGCGTTGCAACGCGTGAACCTAATTTCCATAAATTTGCCTTCTAATCCAGTGACGTGGTGGATTTGTTCAAGAAGGTTCTAAACGTTCGTTATCTTACGCGCACGGAATCGCGGGAAGCGCGTCTGACGTAAGTGCGAATTTCGTGAAGTGTCGTGAAGTCTTCGAAAAAAAACATTGAAGAAATGGCAGTTTGGAAAATACTCTGATGTCCATTTCTATCAATGTAGATTAACTTTACTCTAATTAGTTAAACTTATTTTTTTATCTTTTTCAAATTCTTAGAACTAGAAAAAGATAAAAGATAAATTGGACCGAGATTAAAGTTAATCTACATTGGTAGAAATGGACATGTAATGTCATTGTCCCGCAGCGAAATTTCGTTCTTGCCCGACATGATGGATGTATCGTATCATTTGGAACGCAAGTTTCCTTTAACGATATTTGCCTCAGGTATACAATTCTGTACCAAGTTCCGCTCGATCGAACAAATATAATACAGGATCAAACAAGTAATTCAGATAATGTAATAGTATTTTTATGCCAATATTTATACGATTCTTAAAGACGTTATATTGTACTTGGCAATAATGCATAGTGTTGTTGGAGAAGGCTATATGCGTTAAGGATTGGCCGCGGTGCTTACGATATTTTATGATGCATAATGCATAAAGAATTGACATGAAGAAGAAAAATAGGTCTGTTTGAATCGCGGTAACTTAATCGTAAGCGGGCAGTTGTATCTCACGTGTAAATGGTAATAAATACATTATTTATGAATTCGGAGAGACTGAATTTGAATAAACGGAAATATCAATAGAGAGATACAAATAGCAAAAAAAAATAGATCTCTTTTATTATTAATAAGTTATGCTTTTCACACGCTGATTTTATTTCTCTCTTCGAAATCGTACTGCTTTATTTCAATTATATAAAGAGAAGAGAGTATAGCGCGCGTCTAATCTAACAAATTACAATATTGAATTACACATATAATTTCAATGACTATTCGAATGATTATAAATGTACTATCGATCTATTTATTTTAAATAGTGTGAGTTACGATTTGCCATTGGATTATTCACCACTGAAATTGGAGAGATTGCTATAGAATGTAGTGTTAATTGATTGCAGCGTGATCGCGGTACTTTCCCCTCTGTTTTTCAGCCAACGCGGAAAGTGAAGGAAAAAAACGAGATAATTTATCTAAAAATTGTATATGAACCCAACATGTCACTCGGTCGCGTTGATTTACGCTGACGGGCGATAATTATTGTGCAAGTTGACGGATTAGAATATTTCCCGCAGAAATTTCCGCGATGCGCGCTTGCGTCAAAATCTGTCGTAATCGCAGTTATCCGCCCGATCGTATAGCTCACAGGTCGGTAAACCGTAAATTCGCTTCGTAATAATGCGGCGTGGCTATACGGCGTCTAAACAAAAAATGCGACAGCTGCGATATCTTATCGAATCGCAGTGCCTACGTGCACGAAATAGATACGCGGAAGTGCAATATTTAAAAAGTCGTTCGGTTATCTCTAACATTCTTTTTCCGTCGTTCGTTGCCGTTTATCTATCTCATTAATCCTATCGCATCGATCGCAGTTATGCATACTACACCACACGACACAGAATTATCTTTTTACTTTGTAAAAACTTGTTTTTTTGTGCGTTTTTTATTATCAAGTCTGAAAAGGCATTAGAACAAATTCATGGACAGGAAGTCTATTCGTTATCATTACTCGACACTTAAAATGTTATCGTTATCCGCCAAGTTTTAATCTGTGTTGCTACGACTTAGAAATTATTCGGTAATAGAGTTATTATGTAAGCGTAACGAAAGTAAAAGTTTTGTTTTAAAAAGTATGTACATAAGTTTATCGATAGATAGATCGAAGCGTAAACGTATCGCGCGAAAAACGCAACAGATTCTCAAGTAGCGCGCGACGTGCGATCGTACTTCCTCGGGAATTGGCGCGAAAATACCATCGCTGATTGTGAGATCGAAGATTTTCCTCGATACCGCGTTATCGCTGATAATCTCGAGCGCTGCACAAGGTTCACTTGACGTAATAATTACATAATCACAATAACCAATTACGATACGTAGTATTTTCTGACTAATCGATGATAAGAGCTCAAAAGCGATGATTTGTGGTAGATTAAACTGTGATGGCAATCTTTCTGCAATTCATTGGCACGTATTTGCAAAAGCATGAAAACAATTTTAATTGCTTTTTAATTCATCAATCTGATTAATAGACAATTATTTGCTTAAAACTTTATTTCGCGCTTACAAAACTTTTTCCCGAAAGCCTTACTGGCTTTTTATTTGATTCAAAATGGTTAGTTTATTTTTCTTGAGATTAAATTCTAAATTAGGGTTCTTCTCTCTGCAGACTTAGCCGTGGTGATCGGGAACGAAATCGACTTTTTCGCGCGAAACAGTACACCTATGGGCCATGCCAGCATCGGAGAAGCCGTTGCTTTAACCGGAGTAACGTACGATGACACCACTCGAACGATGTATTTGTCTGACGTAAGGAACAACGTATCTATATTCAGCAACGATCTCACGGAGAGGAATTTCACGTCAACCCCTCTGCTGAAGAGTAAGTACAAAGCGTGCAAATTAATCTCTTTAATTACCACAGTGAGGTCAAGAGATAACAATTTCGTGAATATTTTTAAGAACGACCAGAAAGGTTTATAACTTCTTTTTTTAATTTATTCTATTTTCGACACAAGTACATCACAACAGTTTATATTCTTAAAGATGTATATGATTAAAAGATAGCGTCGCTCTTCTTTGAGATAGCAAGATTAAAATAAGATATATATCATTATATGTATAGTATTTTAAATATAGTTCATTATTATTTATTTACATAAGATCGCTTATGATGTTTAAGGAATACGCTATATTTGAGAAATTTTCTCGTTTACTAATTAACTATAGTTTTATCTCTATCGATAGGTTGTTATAATATGAAAATGAAAAAGTGTAGAAGGTATCAAAATTCACGCGAACGCGATTTTCACGGTCTACGTTTTTACAAATGCCAACGACATCGTTTTCGCTTGATAGGCGAATTTTTAAGAAATTCCGCGGAGTTTGCCACGTGCCTCATAGACATTTGCGCAATCCAACTGGTTTTATTGGTGAGAAGTAATTTATTCGGACATAATCATAAATTGGAAAGATCTTTCGCGCGGATTTCTTCGTGATCAACGTTGATTGCGTATACGATAACCCTAGGACCCTTCAGTTTCCATTTTTTCCGACAAGCAACATAGTCTCTTGCTAAATGTTAAATCGAAAAGATATTACATAAATTAACATTTGACAAATCTTCGTGCGTATCTTCCTCTTTAGAAATCTCCGACGCGGAAGAAATTCGAAATAAATGCGTGTTTACCGTGAAATGTAAATACGACCTATGAGATGAGATATCAGAGATATCTTTACATTACATAATTGAATTGCATGTCCGTAGAAGAGAACGGAATGCACATCGTCGGGATCGTTTTCGACACGTCGTCGCGCACTTTGTTCTGGGTCGACGCCTTGAAGGACATCATCGCGCAGATGCACGTACCGCTGAACGGTGAACTGGGTGATCCTGTCGTTTTGCACAATCTTACCGGGAGCAGCCCACGTGGTATCGCCCTCGACGTGTGTAACAGGTGTGCTATTTACAATCAGTCCTGCGTCAATAGAGATTGTTACTCCGTCCACTGCAGATCTGTTCGTAGAATCGAAAAATGTCAAACGGTTATTAATAGAAATCGTAAATTGCAATAGTAAAATATAAGTGAAAACCATGACAATGCAAAGAATCTGCAAAGCTCTAAGTATATTAATTCTTAATAAATTTTATTACGATATTAAATTATATTAATTTATAAGTTATTAAGATAAATTTTATCAGTTTTATTATATCTGAAGTATCATATATAATTCGGAAATTATTTTAGTAATATTATTGATGATTGGACACATTATGAATAAAGCAATATAGCACAAAACAGAAACATTAATAGCTGTGCATAGTATATTGAAACAAAGCGAAGTAAAGTGCATGCAGAATAAAAACAGATCATATCCCATATGGATAACTGTCGCAGCAATTCCCAGTACATTTATCCGTCTCGCATTGTCAGCGAATGCTTTATAATAAAAGGAAATAATAAAAGTTGAAAATGTGAACCTGAAAAAAGGCGTTACTCTCACTGGAATATTCGATCATCTGTTCATTTTGTATCGTCAAAGCAATCTATTATATAACAAAATGTTTTATAATATTCCATTACATTTAAAAAGATTATTAAAAATGTCATCCTATAGTTTGACTATTATATTGTATAAATTTTATTTTTAGAAGTTTATATTGAAAGATTTTCTTTTTATAAGTGATTATATGATTATTAATACAAAATAAATTTTATACGATTTATTCTTCCAATGCCGAATTAAAGAGGGAACAAACAATAATCGCAAACTTTTTCTTTAGCCGCATATACTGGGTGAACAGTAATATCTCAAATCCCAGTATCGAGTGTTCTAATCTCGACGGAAGTGATCGGACGATTGTCATCAAGGAGAATCTATATGAGCCCCTATCGGTGGCGATCGACCATGCGGAGCGAAAATTGTACTGGATCGACGACGTCGAGGGGATCCACTTCAAGATCGAGCGCAGCAACTTGGACGGTAGCCAACGGGAACTGCTGGTCCATAGCAAGCATCAGCAGCCGGTTTATCTGGCGGTGGACAGTGAATCGATATATTGGTCCGATTGGGTCTACAGCGCGATCTGGACCATGCCGAAAAGCGCCAAGGCTGGGGATATCCCAATCAAATTCAAATCATACTATGACTCGAGAAGAGATGCCGATCCGGCCGGCATCGTGACGCGCGACAACGTCGGCCAGATCGATTGCGCGACGATTCTATCGACGATAGAGAAGAGAACGAACCTATCGGTGTCAGCTCCACGATCGGCGGCCACATTCAATAATTTAACTACCAGCACAGAGGAATCGGATTTGACCACCGAGAGCTCCAAATACTGCCTAAACGACGGCCATTTGAACAAAACGAGCAACACGTGCCGGTGTAAAGCAGGGTGAGTAACTTTACTAAATATCGCATAAATCTATATCTATAGTTGCACAAAAAAATTTTCACAGATTAATGTTATCTATTAAGTTAACTAAATGTTTCCGTGTTTGGTAAGCAATTTGAGAATTTGTATAATTCTTGCAGGTTTAGCGGACCCTTTTGTGAAATTTCTCTCTGTCACAATTACTGCCTCCGTGGTAAATGTATTGTAAATCATCACGGACTTCCTGAATGCATATGCACAGACACATTTAGCGGCACCCGCTGCGAGACGGATGTCTGTAATGATTACTGCCTTTACGACGGTGAGTGTTCCGTCCAAGATGGAAGGCCATCTTGTAGCTGTAAATATTCCAAAGGGACCCGATGTGAAGAGCCGGACGATATCGCGGAGATCTGTACAATCTATTGTGCGAGCGATCGCATTGGATCACACAGCATCAGTTTGACGTCGTGCAGGTATACTTCGTAGATTTCTTATTCGCACTAATTAGTATTCGATAATTTCGTATATATGTGTTTCCAATATTTAATGACAATCTTAACATAGAACAATAATTAGAAGCTTAAAGATCACAATTACACTTAAAAATATTAATATTAGTTTGTAACAAGATCGTTGTGATTCAGAGAGAATATTCGATTTGAAGGCAACCTCTATATGTACATAATTGCATATTATGTATATTAATATCTCATTGTGTATCAACAGGTGTACAGACTCTAATCAAACAGCTGAAAGAATTACGCTTAGCGACAGTTTCCAGAACGGTACGCTGCTACCAATATTCGTAGCCTTCACCGCTCTGCTTCTTGTAATGCTCGCCATACTCAGTTACTATGTGAACAAATTACGAAGGCGACCGCGAATCAAGAGGCACTACGTGGTCAGTAAGGGCGTTACGCCGCTCACGTCCCGACCGCAGATACCGGATCAGTGTGAAATTACCATAGAGAATTGTTGCAACATGAATATCTGCGAAACTGTGAGTGATATGTCATCTAAGTAACGCCCTATGGTAATTGATAGCATGCGTAGCGTCAAGGCTTGCTGACGCTAAAGAAATTTAAGACCGAATCTCCCGATGCCCGTTCTCCTCGTGTTTCGGATTTCCTTTTGCTTCGGATGCAAAATCATGAATTATGACTCTTCACAATCGCGGTTATCATGCTCTTATAATTACGATAAGTTATTAGAGAAGAAATTTTATTTGGCTCTGTTGACAAGAACACGCGATTGCACGACTTTTTAACTTCGAAGAACGCAACGAAATATTTTTCTCAAAATCTTCTCACTACTTTTAATTAGGATTATAGATGACTCTCTATGCTTGGATATCTTCCTTTGAAAGAAGATGTTCAATTAGTTTGTGCATTATGAAGTACGAATTTTTAGGCTATTTGCGTATCTCTACCTTAAAAAGAAACTTATTATACGCTATATAATAACTGTCACGGAAATGACGGCTTTCAGAACAGTATTGCGTTAGTATTGTTACGTTGTGACTAATTCTAACTGTTTGTTTATTATTTTAATAATTTTATTTAACTGCTGTTATATAAAAAATGCATGGTTACTTAAAAAATAAATCTGCAATGCGAAAGATATAATTTTATCGATTAACTTAGCATATATATATATATATATAATAGACTTTCTAATTATTTATTTTATCATGCACTTGTATGCTTTTTGTAATCAACTTTATATAATCTTTTTTTTATGCTTCGCCGATTTTATGCATTCTTCGTGCAGAATAAATTTGTTAAAAATTTATATTAATCGCGAGAATGGGAGTAAACATGTGATTGCCAGTATTCTACATATAATTGAAAAATTATTAAATTATTTTTGTAGTCTTACTTATTATTTTATCCCATTTTATAACAGTATTTTCGAAATTTACTTTGCCAGTGGAGAAAGGTCAGCATTAATAAGGAGAGGGCAAAGTCAAATTATATTATCTCCTTTATGAGCTCGGCTAATGTGTTCACGCGTAGATTTCAATTGCGTGCGCAATGTCAACGATCGAATTATGCTAAGATTGGATCTGTTTTGCCGTTACATTCCAATTTACCAATCGGCTAAATTGGAACTGTAATCCTCTTACGGTGTTAATTGTGCGATAACGTCAACGGTTATAGTCTTGTTTTTCTCGCGCACAGTTCTAAAACACGATGTATATTTGTTACTTAAAATAAACGACGATTATATTAAGAATAAGACTTCCTACAAAGACGCTTGCTTGCTTTAAGAACTAATATTTTACGATTACATTTGAAAAGTAAATTTTGCCATGTGCTAAGCTATTTCTAAATTTGTATTTAAATAAATTTCTCAATTTATTTCGCCATTTTTGCAAAAATACGAATCAGCGATAACAGGATTTCGTTCTTTTACAGCCGTGTTTCGAACCAAAATTACGAAATGGTGTGTCAAGGAGCAATAATATGAAAAAGGAAGAGAAGAACTCCTTGTTGGATAATATGGAGGGTAATTCGTGCTAGCACATGCTACTCTCGTCTCGTCGCATGAAATGGCGAAAACTCTGCACGAGCTCTGCGCCGCGTCGGAGATCGTATTCGCGGGACTGTTCCGTGTGTTTGTATATAACACAGCGGCGAATTTTAGTATTGTTGTTAAGTTTGAAAACATCCATGTTGATGGGATGCGCATGAGCGCGCTATATCGACGACGATTTCACTCCATTTTGAAAAAGGAAGCCAAAGGTCTTTTTAGAAAGTCCTATTTCTTAGTACGTCATACACATTAGGGCTGTGTTTTAGAACCATTTTGTCACTTAGTAGTCATTAAATTTATCATTTGACGTTGTTAGATACTTGTTTTAGGAAAACTGGACTATATGTTTTTCTAAATCTGCCAAACGCAATCCCTCTCGCGCGCAAGAAACGCTAAAGTTTTAAATAAAGACGCGAAATGTTATTATAATTTCAAGATATAAATCATATTTCTGATTATTAATGTATAATATTACCGAATTATACTTTTTTTAAATCTTTGTGATTATATAATAACTGAATTTGTTTCTAAAACAAAATGTCGCGAAATTTAAAATATATAACTTTTGACAAAAATACAAAGATTTGACAGAATTTCGAGCTTGTAAAGCTATATTGGAACAAGACTATATTGGTATTGATATTTGAGATAAACAAGCGAAAGGAAATGTTTTCGCAGTTTAGTACTAATTTTTTCATAATCTATCTAATAGATATCTGCCAAACAACGTAATTCTAATATGAAAACTACTATAATTCTTTATACTTTCATTTCTGTTAACTTCTCGTATGTATCTCTTATATATCATTTAGAACTTATTTTATATATCATTTAGAAGAGAACTCAAGTGTGTAAAGTGAAAAGAGAGAAAGAATAAGGAAAAAGTAGCTATCGCAGTCATAAGGGTTGCGCAAAAGTTGCCTTAAGCGATAATTCTAATCGTTGCTCAAAGTACCATTGAGTACATTCCTGAAAGAAATTTAGATCGCGATATGGCGTCGCAGAGATAAGTGATTCTCTTATAACATTTTTTGACTGAACCATCCGTCAATGGACTTTACAGTACATAATTATATGAGTAATTTCATGGCGTTAGATCATAATTCGATTATTAATACCATTCGTCATTCTTTGATTTTACATATCGCGTTCGTGGGAATATTTGCGCAAAAGCTTCATATCTCGATATAAGCGCTTCTCTCTAACTCCATTCTCATTTAATTCACTAAATGAATTCACTTCGTGTACATTTTCGTAATCATGTTCAACCGCTGACCATCTTCTTTATCATACTGTGAGTACAATGTACGCGTGTATATATGTGTACACCTAACATTCGTGAATATACGAATGAGCTCGAGTTGGATCGTGCTTTTACGCACTTAAGATCCTTTAACGTGAATTTGTACCGCTGCTGAATATTAAATTCAACTCGGGAATCGTTATCACTGACGTAAATTCATAGTAGTGATATGAAAATGTATGTGGCATTGTCTAGGCAACTAAATATGTAATACATGTATACATATATTACATTACGAGGTGTATACTAGATGAAAATAGGAAAATGTTCAAAGAGTCACAATGTATATAAACGATCCTCAAATATCCCCGAAATACTGGATATCCCCCAGTGATAAAATACACTGCAGAGGTATGAATAAACTTTGCCAGAAGTTTCCGATACTTATACATCAATGATATCCGTGGTTTTTAATCTAATTTTGAGGATCGTCAGAATCGTTTTTTTTTACATATAGTTTGAAGATACCTGTAGGGTTCATTGCAGAACAATACTCCGTTTATTTACTCCGAAAACTTTTGTTCTGTATCGATATATGCAACGCGGAGCCAACTTTTAAGTCTTCTTCTTTTCTTCCAATTTTATTCCGTCGCGAGAGTGAAAAATAATTATCCACCACTTTTATTTTGTATATGCGTGCAATTGTGGTGGTTACAGCGAACGGGCGAGATCATATACGAGGCGAATGGTGCACTTGTACATAACAATCAATTTTATTTTGTTTTTTTTTTTTGTTCTTAAGGAGGATAATCGCAAATTTTAATATTTTTCGCCCATATCTTTACGCAAATCGGCCGTAATGCATAGCAGTTACTTAAAGCGTACAATCTGCTACGTACACCAAAGTTGTTTTTGCTAGTAATAATAACGTGAAACAGAGTACAATATTATTGGTTTGCAGGAATTATATCGCATATTGATCCGAGTTAAGACATGATTAGATCTTTTACGATGTTATACGGAGGCTTCATATATAGAAAACATTTTATTTTCAATTCTAATCACGTTAGAAAGTGGCAAACCAATGATTATTACGTTGTTCATTTAATTGTTTATTTATAGGAGTTATGTTATATTTTATGATACGGAATAATGTTCCTGTCGTTGTGACAACAAATTATTCGCAGTACATGACGATACTTTCTGTTCCTGTATACGATAGATGCTACTTAAAAAAAATTGTCATATTTGCTTTTTAAATCTACTTTATAATTTTATATTAAAGATTTGCGATACATTTGCCGATTCTATACATATATACAATATCTGTATATATATACATATACAATATACATATTTAAATATGAAAAAATATATATATGAAAGTTGCGCGATCTACGTATCGATATTGTATTTGGAAAATAGCCCTCTCCCACACACTCATCCCCAGAGACGGGATAGTGGATTTATGGTGAAAGGGTTATATTCCTGAAAAATATAAAAAGCCATGATGATGTATAATATGCAATATGTCTTCGTACAATTTTGTTTTATGTATTCAAAATGATAAAATTTGTTATATGCAATATTTTTTCGAATTTGCTAAACATAATTATCTTTATGCAGAAATGTTAATTTATCATCCTGAACATTTAATGTTTGATCTCTATTGTATTGTACATTACATATTTTCTGCCTAGAGATTCGAGAATTTATTGCATTTACTTTAAATTATGTACTTAAACTTGGTATGTGTTAAGTCGTACTTAAATTGCAATTAAATGATTAGATTTTTTAAATTATTAAATATAACTTCAAAAGCAACATATTGCATATTTTGCATTCCTTTACAATGGTTATACTGCTGGTTGCTATTGTATACAGATTAAAGTGAAATAAAATGGATTATCTCTTATTACTGATGTGTCGTTATTATGTATACCTCATTTCCTGGAAAAGTGTGATAAATAGATTTGAATTATAATTTAAACATACGTTTTTGTTTAAAGAACAGCTATCATACACTGGATAATTTTAATGTAGATATCCCTATTTAGATAATAATGGATTTTACTCTATGAGATGCAGAGATTTTTTAAACTGTTAAAATTTATTGAGAATAAGCGATTCCAATCGTGTATATCTTTTACAGATCATTTTTATTTCTATATAATTAAAGATATTTACAATTTTATGAATAATTGATGCAAATGAGCAAACGGTTTTATTACGTACTTTTATTACATAAATGTATATTTATAAAAGACATATTAAGTGTCATATGTACAATAGAATTACAATAAGTGATAGTTCGTTCCATTTTAACAATTTTAAACAAATTAAATTTAAAAATGTTGCTAAGATTATATTTAAAAATGGATGTTTTCATTCTTAGAAAGTATATAACATTCTAACTAAAGAGATCGATTAGAGAAATTAATTTTCTGTTATGCGTATATTATGAAAGAGCAAAGCAAGATATACATGCACTCTCAAATTTATATTAACTATCTTGTTAAATATTAAATACGTCAATTAAATAAAATTTATGTTGATTATACTTGAAAGATCATAAAAATCATGAAAGAATTTTAGGTTATAAGGCAAGCGAATTTCGAGCTTGCAGTCGTCTGTAATTCGTGAGAAATCGCTCCTGTTACGCGGGAAGCATGTTGAGCGAGGAGGTTGTAGGAGGTATTCCGCGGGTGTTTTGAAATGCGAAATGCGCTGAACGACACTGGGTCATATCTCGAGAAATATATTCATTTTAACATTGTTATGTGTCCGTTAATGCAAATCATGCTCTCTCAAACGAGATTTGACAATA